CTTAATTTTTAATTGACAAATAATGATTTAAAGACACTTAGCGCATAGTTTTTAGGTTTTCCTTTCTTCTAAATCGCTCATATTTTCAGAGGTTAGGAAGTGTTGAATAATTTTATAATTTCCATTTCACTGAGAGCCAATTGCAGTGCACCTAACACCATTCGGAATCCCTCACGAGATTAACAAGATTCCGAAGTCAGTTATTGAAAAAAGTCTGAAAAATTATTGAGAAAGTGGTTCTTTGTTTTTTCACTAAATCCATATTTTTGTTTGATTCTTTTTTTTATTCATTCATTTGCTCATTTGTTTTAATGTTTGCTGTCGTATTTTTTTTCAGCTCAAAGAATTTTGCACCAAAATTTTCTATTTTTTTTATATTTTAGTGTATTCTCTAAAATACCACTTATTTGCTAAAAATTCTTCGCTTGATGAAATTAAATTGAATAATTTCCTTTATAAGATTGTTTTCGACAAAATATCGCTCGTATAGATGAAGTATTCATTTTCGTTTAGCTAGAATTTATTTACATAAAATTTATAAAATATTATAGAATTATAGAATTTATAAAATTTTATTCCATTGAGAAAAATGAAAAAATTTTGTGATTACATGATCCCAGCCGATGAACCACATTTATTCGAAGCGCCGAATGAAATATGACAAGGGGAAGGAGTGGGAGGAAGGGGACGAATGATGTAGAAAAATGCAAATACGGTTATTACGATTAACATTCGTTAATCGTGCGATAACTGAGCTGAAAACTGGTTTATTTTTAAGAAAAATCTTAAGCACTAATCCTAACAGATTTTGTAACATTTTTTCATTTTTTTTAACTTTTTTATTTCTGCGAAATAAATATGTATGCATTTATTATTTACTTGCAAAAGAAATTTATCGGACAAATTTAATTTAATTAGGCCATCGAACGAAAATGATAAGAATACAAAAGAAGCAAAAAAAGCTGTCAGAATTTGCATTTTTTGCAAAAAAATTTTTTTTGGCAGCATTATTGTTTTATTTGGCACCACTGTATAAAGCAAATGTAAATAGTTGCTAACAAATCTGTTATAAAAAAAACGAATGATTTGCCATAATGAGTTATGACGTGTCGTTTCTGACCCATCCTTTTTTCTGGATGGTAAGATTAATATTCTCGAATAAATATTAATTTTTCTGGAAAAAATGGTTGCAATTGAATTAGTTTAAATAAATATTAAGCTTTAATATATTCTCAATTTAAATATTATATTTAATGAGTATATTGCAGTTGGAATTGATTTTGGAATGGTTTTATATGTGCATTACTGTGCTAACTTTATTTTTACATATGAAATGTAATACTTATAATACTTTTCAAATCATTTCGTATGAATTATTATACTTATTTTCCACGATGGATTCAGTTAAGTATTCATTCTGAACCCGGATGCAAATACATTCTTATTAAGATTGAGACTTATGTATCTAACTTCAATAACTAGATAATAATTAACCTATAACTAGTGCCAATCAGAGTAAATAAGCCTTCATGCAAAATTCCATGATATCTCATAAAGATTGATTCGTTATAATGAATAACGTCGCGTTTTGCGGGATCGCTTATCAGTTTGTCGTATCGAAAATAGATCGTTTGATGGAGACCCTGACCTCGACTTATGTATTAACTATTTTTCATTGAGGTTACATATCAAGAAATATAAAGATCGTTAGAGAGACGTGAAAAACGATCGGCAGTAAAGATTAAACCAAATTTGTCACTAGAGAATGTCTCAATTTTCTTATGACTTAAGATCGTCCTTATTTACCTCAGATAATTTTACTTTCGGTCAAATTAGTTCATTTGGAGAAAACATTACCTCTCAATCGCATTGGCTTACCTTCTCGATGAAATATTGTTGTTTTTATTATAAGATTTCCAGATAGATTATCTCATTTTAAAATTATTTGGTTTTATATAATAGAAACATAGAAATTGGGTTAGATAAATGCTATTTCACTTTCACCGAAATATGAAAATATTGTTTTGTGAAAAATGGATATACACAGGACTTACACAGTTCGCCTTGGCTATGATAAAAACTTCCTTGTGTGGTGTTATTAATATCTCATTTATAAAAAACATCATGATCAGAAGAATCAATCTCAAATACTTCGAGAATAGTGGAGAATGTGAGAATAGATTAATTTTTTTTCTTCCTTTAGTCTTTTCTTTCTTAATCTATTTGCGATTCTATAATTCTTAATCAATTTCAGGCAAAATATGTAAACTTAACTATATAACTTTTTTAACTAAAAATTTATAATCTTTGGCTGAAAGGCGAATGAGGTGAATAACTTTTTCCAAGCTATCATAATTCTCAGAGCACTTTTATTTATTAATCGAATGGTTAATCTAGAATGATCAAAAATATATAGAATTTTCCTGACAAAATTATAACTAACTAAATGGAGTACTAGCTTCCAAAAGATTCTAAATATGTCTTAATACGATTATCAGAAAGATTACTTAAAATAAGATCTTTTTACTTTTGTTATAGTGGTGATAATGATGGTTGTTGGCCAGTTTAATTTATACAAAAAAATTCGCGTTTGCGAACTTTTCTATCGAAATGAAATTTTCATATGAACTAAAAACTTCTATAATCTTTTTATTCGGGAAAAATTCTATCGGTTTCGTCGATGTTTTGTCGATGTCGGCGACAAGCCGATTTTCATACTGAGTTTCATCTTACAACACTTCAACCTTCATTGCAATTCGTTTGATCCTATTCGATTCTTTTTAATTGTCGAACTTTTTTTTTAATTAATTGAAGAAACAATATAACAATATGGTCATTTTTAGTAGGCACTCTCCACTGACTATTAGTGTAGTTAAAAATTTTTACCACTCACTTACAGATAGAGGTATAACTGTGGTTTTTAAAGACAGTGTCCATGACGTAAGGCGATAACTTGGGCAAAAAGCACTGGCATTCTAGGCTCCAAATATATAATACGGTGTGGAAAGAATTAATCATTTATTGAGCTTCCGATCTTTGATGGACTAAAATTTAATTGAGAAAAAACGTTCTTATAATGGATTTAAATTTCTGCTTGGTCTTACAAATTTTTTTTAATCACAAGTCTCAAAAATCTTTGTTAATTTTTGGAACAAATGCAACTGAAAGTAAAAAATTTTTTGATTGCAGTTGCAACTCAATGCGTTAATTTCTTGTTTCTTTCTTAATATTTAACTTTAAATGAGCAGGTTTTCTTTCTGATTCAAGCATGCTTCTTGATAGGTTTTTTAAATCGGTGATGTTTGCTGCTTCGATTCTTGTTTTTTCACAAATTCAAATTGGTTTAGTTTATTGTAGATAGAGGAATCAGTATATAAATGAAGCATGATATTTGAATCGACGGTCTTAATAATACTTCACATTTGGTGCATTCATTTCATAAGTGTAAGTGGTTAATGCTCACCATTTTTAATTAGGTTAAGCATAGGTTAAATTGCTTTTGGTACGGTTAGAAAGTTTGCTAGAGTCATTTCGCAGTAGAAGTAGAAGTGCACTTGGCCACCATCAATCGTATGTTTAATTACAAATTTATTCTACCAGAGTAAATCCGATATTTCGTTTCTCGAGTCGCCATCCTACGCCTATTTGTGATTAAATCCCAAATTCCTACTGTTATTTTAATCTTTTTAATAGTACGTTTTTCCAAATTTTTAAGTTCCGTGAAATTAGTAAAAACGTTGGTGGTATTTTTAAAGAGTCCTCACCATTACTGGTTAAACTCGCTCCACTGGCTTGTCGCATTGGGCAATATGCCAGAGAGTCCCTTAGCAATAAAAATACAAGTGAGTCGCCAGATCATCCGGATTTTTGGACAGGTTTACTCTTATGAAATTGATAAAAATGTTGAGAGCAAAGAAGAAGATTAAAATAGAATTATTTTCTAGGTTCATGGCTAAATGGTCGCAGAAGGCTTCATTCCACTTTCCACTAAGTGGAATATCTCATTGTTTTTATTTTTGACTTTTTTTTCATTATGAATAGCTTCTAGGCTTGCCTATTTAACATTTTTCTTAAATATTCTCTTTTTACTTACCAGTTTACCAGTTTTCGCACTTTTATTTTAAATTGACATTCCGTAAAAAATATTGAAATATTAGTAAAAATAATTTGGCTACATTGGAAATAGGTGAGTCTCCAACCACTATGCCATCGTTAATTATTAAAGATTTAAATAAAAAATTTAAATTCAATTTATAACTTTCTGAATTTGTGGAATTTTACAGTTCAACAGTACTAATAAGTAGCAAACAAATTATAAAAAGAATTTTAGAAAATCCTAGAATCCTACTATTTAAAAGATCCTGGAAAATATTAAAAATATGGTGTTGTGCAAAGTCTCCTTTCTTGCTTGAAATCAAGCTATTTTTTAAAATTCGGGAATATAGCCAAATCCTCCCTCGCTCGCGTTATGGCTTCTTATAGGTATTACTTCAAAGACATCTGAATTCTCTTAATAGAAATTTAAGATTTTATATGCAAATACAATTCGGTTTTCGCAATTTGCGATCGCTTCGTTATCATTACAGCGTAAAAGATGTGCTATACGGCATATTAAAGATTTATTTAAATTCAGTTTTAAATGAGAAAAGGTTATTGTGATATAATAAAGGTAGTGATGGACTGCAAATGGTGAATTTTGAAAAGAATAGAAGGTTAATAAAATAAAAGACAAAAAAGTATTGTGATAACATTCATTCAAGCACCAAAATCATGAGCAATTCAAGACTGATTTGATATTAAATCTCTTTTCACTTGTTTTGCGGTTAATGAGGCTATATTGCGTAGGTTTGCTATACGCCATTGTGAAAATGTCAAAATGTCAATAGCAGGTTAATTCGTAATTCATAACTCGTTTGTGGCACTAAATAATCGAAATATTTTAGATAGCAATTCCAGGTCAGAAATATTGTATTGCCTAAAGAAGCGATTCCTCGTGTAATATGATGATTCATTTGGATCCACAACATGCGCGAATTTCTGGAATGCCACCCACAGTTCCTACAGTTAGTTATATATTTTGTTTTATTTCATTTAAAGTTCTTTTCCGTAAAGTTCTTCAAGTCTATTGATTCAAAGAGGTTTTTTTCTATTTCTATTATCTTTAGTATGAAAAGTTCCTTTGATTTAAAAAAATCAATGTAATTTTTTATGCATTAAATACAAGAAGATTCATCAATATCGGTAACAATTTTGTAATTTATAATTTGCACAATATCCATATTAAAATATCCATTTTTCTTCCAAGTAATTTGAACTTTCACATCATCTTCCCTATTTTACAGTTTTTTTATTCTTTTAAACTATAGCTAAATTTAGAACAAACTCCCGGATGAGCCATCTCGTTTACCACCAGTGGTCATAAATCCAGCTGAAGTTGAAACTATAAATATCCAGTTGGAAAAGAACCAACAGTGTTGCTGTCAAGGTTGTGGTAAAATATTTAATTCGGTATGGTATTTGAAGCAACATGCTGTAAAACATTCCAACGAGCGGCCTTTTCGGTGCCAATATTGTAAAAAGGTTCGTAAGATTATTCTTCTTTTCACATATACGAATAAAAGGTAAGGGCCTGGTAAGTACTGCTTGGTCTTTTGATTCTTAGCGTGTTATCCTTTATAGCTTTATAGCTAAGTATTCTCATAGAAGGGAACAGAAAGAAGATAAAACGATAGAAGACAAAGATGAGGCTAGTTATTGGTAAAGGAGTATTAATGTTGCGGTGGAGGATTAAAAAAACAACTGTGTGCAATAAATCTCTTCGGCGTGCCGAAATGCAGATTAGATAACTAAGTAATTGTAGGAAACGTTTATCTGGGGAATTCGTCTATTTGCTTTCGTTTCTCTTGGAATTTGATTACTTCAATTCGTACATTAGATTCGTATATCGTTCATACAAAAAATCTAGTAATAAAAGAACGAAGTTTTTTGATGTTTGTAGTAAACCATCAAACACTATTCGTTCATTCATTTTGTTGGGCCATTAATAAAACTACCATTATTCGTCAGTCAGTTTCATCACTATCGCCTTCGTCAATATAATCATAAAATATATAATTTGGGTTGATTAAAATTAGGTAATCCGATAAATTTAATTCCATTTTTCAGTTCTTCAGTTATGTTATGTTTATCTCTTTTACATTTTACATTTAGTTAATTCTTCGCGTAACTCTGAAATTATCTAAGTCACCCATGGAAAATCACCCTTTAGCATCTTTATTTTTCCAAAATCCTGTAAATCTTTCAATGAACTGCAACTGAATTTTAATTTTATTTATATCAATTTTAAGACGTACAAATTTCGGTCGAATCTGTATCAACACAAATGTCCGGATCGGATAAAAAATGAGAATACGTTGGTTTTAATCTTTTCCACATTTCAGTTCACTTAAAATATTTTTGAATTGTTTTTTGAGGCAATCTTTATCGAATTTTAAGTCGTTTCCAATAAATTCAAATTTAATTAATCGTCATAACTTTCATCCTAAAGCTTTGATGTTTTTCTTAAATCCACATGGGGATCATTCTTTTTTCATCAATTTTTGTCGAAAAAATTTTTAAATATGATTGATAGTATTATAATAATGAATAATAATTATAATATGATTTTCGGAATGAATTCTGAATTTTTTAAGTTTCAAAGACCATTTTTGTCTCAAAAATATGTAATAGAACGCAATAAATATTTCGAACTAGTTGTCCGTATAATAATTAATGGTCGAGAAAATCTTTCTAACAAATTGAATCTTTGTCTTCTTCTTAAATATTGCCAGAGGGCTTCATGATTAATTTTTCTTTTTCTAAAATTAAGCCTAAGAATTTACTACTCAACTCACTGAACCCCAGGTGTTATTTTTTGCGTTTTCTTATTCAAAGCCATAATATTTTTATCTGATTCATGACCCAAAAAAATTATACACTTTCAGGACTAGACCTTACATAAATCACTCAGTCATGTTTAATGGCAATTTGGCCAGAATGATACCAAATACAACTCGAAATATAAGGACATTTGGGCCTTACGAGTAAATCATTGATTAGATTTAATTCATTACAAATTTCTTATTTTTTGCCTTTGAAAAATGTGATTGCCTGGGCAAATTTACAGAAAGTAATTTATTCCAGTTGAAAAAGTAGTCGCTTGCTGGAATTAAATTATTAAGCTGCTTTCATTCTACCAGATTTCGCCTCATTTCATTATCGATATAAAATATCATTTTTTCAAATAATTCATATTGCCCATTGCTTATTCATATAAATAACTAGAATATAAATTTCAATTCTATTCCTGGCCTCTAAAAGGACTTGGCTTCTATGTTCCATAGGAGTGGATATGCCATTAAAAAACCTGGCTGGTGTTGATGGTCCTTTTAATTCTGGCCAATTTAATATCGAAAAAGTCTGTAAATGATCTTGCAATGAATGAATTTTTTTCCGATTAATTATATTCTTGATTTATTTCCAGTTTTTCTCAAAAAAAGGAATGCGGTAAAGGATTCATTAAATAAGTGAAAGGAAATATATTAGGTATACAAAAAGTGCATTTCGCACAATTATTATGACTTAGAGTTTGCTTTTTTTTCAATTACATGCGAAAAGTTTGCAGTAATATCGGTGAACAACCAACAAGCTCAGAATATAGCGAAAATATGAAGGAACGATCGGTAGAGGATAGAACATTGCCAGTGGCCCCACTCTCTGAACCAAAAAAATTGTTTACTTTGCCTCGTAGAAAACCACTCAATGAAGCTGCTATAGAACGCTTTCTGGAACGCTATAAGCATAAGGTTTGTGCTTATAGTTCCATCATTCTATTTATTTCCATCTCGGTTATCTTGTTATCCTTCATCTTTCATTTTACTACTTTTTTTTCGTAGATTTTCGAATTTCCAAGTTATATAAAAATTTAGCCCATAACTCATATTCAGTTAGCCTGCAATTCCTCCTCACTTTATTAATTAGATAAAATTTAACTTATTTCGATATTTCAATAACAAAACGACCGGATTCAAGCAAATTATTTCACAGAAATAAAATGAAAGGATCGGCAAAACCATTTACATATTATCGTTCAAATTACAGTAAAATAATTTGTAGCTTTCTCAATGTCGCAAATGTCGTCAACAGTTCCCATCACAAGAATATCTCAATCGTCATATGGCTTACCATATGGAAGAGGAATTATTGGCTCATAAATGCGATTTTTGTCCACAACGTTTCTCAACTGAGAAAAATCTAAGACTGCATAATCAACTGCATACGTCTGATGCAACTATACGTTGCACTCGATGCTCAGCATGTTTCTCGTGAGTATATTTCCACTTTAGAATATCATATGAAACTACATTCTCTCGGAAAAATACACCAACAAATAATAAAATGCAACAAGAGGTGGAATGAAGAAGAAGTTTTGGCCATTTTTTGGTTTATTTACGGAACTATATCTCTGTGTGAAAATATTTATAGAAGGCGAATGTTGAGAAGAAAACTTTTATATTTTAACTATTTCAGGTCTTGTTTGGCACTAAGAAGACATAAAGATGGTTGTCGTGGATGTCGAACTCTCCCATTTGGCGTTTCAGTTGATGATGTATCATTTTTCAAAAATTTTGTGAAAATTAATCGAATGTTAATCTGGATTTCATTTTTTTTATTTTTTAGAGCTAAGAAATCGTTTTAGCCATTATTAATTAAAAGAAAGTAGCTGAGTTAATAGTTTGTCATACTGAAAGGCATGTGTTCAACTCCTGCTCCCAAAGGAGAAAAGTCCAGCTGGCGCTGGTAAAGTCTATATTTCTATAGCCAAATGACTCTGATAAAAATTTCTAAGCGTATAAATTTCTCAGCTAGGGAAACCAGAAAACGCTAATTATTCTTTGCTCTAGAAAATAATTTATCTATTTCTTTCTAATTTTTGCTACAAAATATTTTTCAGAAACTTGTTTGCAAGATTTAATGTTTTTTGCAAAGTTCTTCCATAGGAGTATTTAAATTTATTGTATTTTTAGAAAGAAAGTGCTTCCTCAGCTATTGATGAATACGCATTTATTGATGCGAATGAAATTGCGGACAACCCATCGCCGATGATGAATGAGGAAGAAAATATCGGAAATGGTGATCCTGATTCAGGCCTTGGCTCTGTTACTTCTAATCATGCGTATGTTCCTCATTTGTTAGCCATAATTCGTGGAAGCAATGAGGCGCTGTTTTTTTCGTTGCATTGTCCTAAATTCGACTGTGCTTTTTTATATGGTTGCGACTTTATAAATTTCCTCGTTGCTGCAATATTTTATCATTAATTTTTAAAAAAATTTTGATAATTTAAATTGTTTTTTTTGATTTTTTATTAATTTTATTAGTTAATCTATTTTAATGTATTTTGTAGTTCTAAAAATGATTGAATCAATAAAATTCTCTTCAGTGGAAATCTAAACATTCAAATTTATTATAAGAAATCTTCATAGGCGAGTTTTTAATTTAGATTTTCCATAATAACAAACGATGGAAGTGAAAGCTCTGAAAGTGAACCGAAAACTGATGTAACGAAAGGCGAACGAAGAACTGATGAAGTTTGCGAAAATAGCCTTGGCAAATCACTTCATAACGACGATGATACTAAGAGGCGTACAAGTATGAATTCTCACATAAGTGAGTACCTGATTAAACCTGGTTAAACGACCCATTGGGTCGGTGTAAGACCATTTCAAATCGTGGTACCAACAACAGTCTTTTCTTTAATAGCTTATGGAAATATTTCTTCTTTAACAAGTTTAGAGCAAATGCTAAATAATTTTCGTTTTTTCAGTGACAGAGGCTACTCCTTTCTCATCTGTTGAATATGGATTAAAAACAAATTATGATACACTTTCAAATGGGGAATTATCGCGTTCGATATCTTCATCTAAAGATGTGATTGGTAATTTTTATGGTCGATATACTGGATTCACCGCCGGCGGAAATATCAGCAATGTGGGTTAGTCAATATTTTATATATTCGAATATAACTGAGATTAAAATCGAGTTAATGTTTGTTTATTCATCTATGCGAACAAACAACATTAAATTAAATTAAATTATACAAGCGATATTTTGGCAGATCATATTCAATTTGCATATTTTGCATGCAAAAACTTAGTAAATTCTTCAAGAAAAAAATAGAATATTTACTAAATACGATTATTGAATTTATTTTCGTCGTCGATCTTGGAAATAAAAATTAAACAAAAATTCATAGAGTTAAATTTTTTGAAATGAAAGTGGGTTCATGGAAGCCGTTTTGCGGTTGCAATGAAATTTTCAACAACTTTTAATCCGCTTGTTTGGAAATACTAATAAAAAGTAGTAATTGGCGAATTTAATGGTAAATAGTTATTACTTATAGTAAATAAGCTTATAGTGAAATTAGGATAAAAAAGCTGTTAGCTGAAAGAAAGTATTGATAAATTAATTTTTTATAAAAAAGGGACCAACTTCGAATAAGATAAATCAGATCTCGGTTTTTATCGAAAGTTTTCAATTCTATAAATAGATTTCTGATATATGTGACAGATTGAACAGATTTTATGTATAAGTAATAAGACCAAATGTAATTCTCTCTTTTCCAGAAAAAATTCTATGTTGCGCAATTCTATGTTTACTCGTTATGCGACAATGGACTAAATATTTATAATAGTTATCCTATTATTTATAGGAAAAAATGATTTGTTTCTTAAAAAATATTTCTTATCGACTTTATTCGTGCAGAATTTATTACAATATGTTGCATTAGCAAATCAATTTCCCACATATTATTTCATCAGAAACTTTTTTATGACCTAATTTGTTGGTAAATTAATGAAAAAGATTTGATCAAATTATAGATATCTTTCTTCATAAAAATAAACAAAATTTTTATGAAATATATCTTTTAATGTAGACGATCTGATAAGAAAAATAAAGGAAACGAGACACTGTTCGAAGATTAATTTATAGATAGTATCGCAGATGAATACCACTATTCATTTTTGACCGCATGCGATCCGATCATATTTTTTCATCCTTCCCATCATAACACTTCTGACATATTCTCTTTAGCTATTTGGTGTGACAATGCAATGAAAAATGGGGGGATAAAGCCGGTATACAAATGAATAAGTCAATAATAGTTTGATGGTTAATGAATGAAATAACCCAAATCTTGACTGAATGGAAAATTTGTGGTTTTTTATAATTTATGTTTATGCTTTTTGAGTAGCGAAATATCGCACTGTTTTCAAGCAGTTCGCCAAGGTATTTAGATTATTTCTCTCAAATTTATTTAGCTGTCGTAGTCTGTAGTATTATAATAATTTTTTTCAGCATCGTACAAGAAATTTTGCTTATCTCATTGAATCGTGAGAAGTAGACTAAATTATATAGAATTCATATCATTGAAATATTTAGAAATGGCCAGTTTTCTTCTCATAAAAATAAAAAAATTGGAGATTTTCAATGATATCCATCCAAGAAAATTTGAAATATATCGAAATTCCTACGCCATAGGTAAAAGAAAATATAAGTAAAAGAACGGTCAGAATATGTTGTTTTGAATTAGGCTTAAATATCAAATATTGTTTCAACTAAGCTCAAACAATCAGATATTAATTTCTATTCCATTTTCTTGAAAGTAAATCTACAATTAAATATTAAATTTTAGTGGTGACGAGGTATTTTATCTTTATTTTTATCTCCATGCAATTTTCTGGTGAAGAGTTATTAATCTCGATATAGTACCAGCCTAATTAACAGCGACGGGTGTCCTTACAAGAAAATAAAGAGAATTATAAATTATTCAAGTGAATTGGTAAAAATCACCAAAATCGCTACTGCAATGAGCTGGAGAATTGTCGAATTTTTAAAATCATTTATTTATAAGTTAAGAATTTTGTTTGTTTGAGATTACCTTTATGCTTGGCTCATAGTTTTTTTAGTCAACCTGGTATTCAGTATTTTATTTTGTAAATTTCTATTTGCTTCAACGAGGTATATTTTCAATATTTTATAAATATTGTGAAAAATTAATCGCATGAAATTCAATTATTGAATAATGATAAAATGAAGTGAGAAATTTTTTGACAATGCCAATTGGCATTTTGCTACTTAGCCTTTCATTGGTCATTTATTGAATAACATTTTTTACTAGCTTAAAATTTATCACTCTTCCTCGTTTGTTATTTATCATCATCGTCATAATTTTCATCCTCTACGTTTATGCAGTTTAACAATTTTAACCACATTTTCTTAAGAAATTTATGATTTTATTTTACAGGGTTTATGCATTCCAATAACTGCGAACTTGACAAGTCTATAAATTATTCCCACTACGATTTTTTTCAGTACAATGTTCGGGAGGACAATGCAATAGAAGTTGGAGTTATACACAGATCCATGACACAATCGAGTAATTATTCCATTAAATTCCATTAAATTATCTCTTAAAATCTTTATTTTGTTTTGAATAAGTCGAAAATTTTATACGATCATTAAATTTTAATGGAGATTATGAATAAAATAAATTTTCGGATTGGATGGGACAAGCAGTATCTTTGGTTACGTCATCATAGATTCTCCCTCTCTCTCACTAAAAGCAAAATTTGAATGAAGGAATCTTATACCAGTGGCCTATAAAATCAGCAAAACCAGAAATGATGAGCATGATTAGAAATTATGAAGACAGAATAAAGATTCATCGAGGGAAATTTTTTAGTTTAGTAGAGCAATTTTCATCATTTTTTATAAAATCATTTTATTTTATAAAATCAAAAGTATAAAATCATTTACTTGTTAAATCATGTTTGCAATATTACAGCAGCATTGTCTCATTAATTTAATTATTAATTTAACGCTTAATATTTAATATATATATATAACTCAAAAAAATATTTTAGTACATGGAAAACTACCGCTTCAAACCTTTTATGACGATATTTTGCTGAACGAAGCAATAAATATTGTTCGAGGCCATATCATGTATTCTATTAGAATTATTTTCGTTCTCATAATTATATATTGAACTGATCCAAATTTTCGATTAGAATAGTATTTCTAGTATAACAAATATCAAAGCGAGATCTGAACTTGAAGCTTACTTCTCGAGACCAAAATCATTTTATGATTTAGCTTTATAACGTAAGAACACGGTAATATGCATAAAAAAATTTTAATTTCTAGTATAACAAATATCGATTACCCACAGAAACAAGGGTTCCCTACACGAAATCTTCAATTTTTAAAAGTTTAGAGGCGTCTTTAGAGTGGAAAGTTCAGGAACTATAGAAAAAAAGAAAAACGAAAATGCTTAAAAAATACCGTTAATTTTGGTTAGGCTATTTCGATTCCTTCACATCTTAAAAAAACTGAGTAACGTAATATAAATAAATCAGTCTACAGTGGAATGCATTCATTTGTCTTTCGACGATGTATCATGCGTTCCATCCTTCCATTGTATAATTTTTTTTCTCAATTTTATTCGGAAAAATATTGATGAATATCATGATTTATTCAACGAATAATGATCATGATTATATAAGTTCCACAATTGGGTGTTAAAAACTGTACTGTAGCACCTTCAGGATTATAGAAATCCCATTCTTCAATTTTTCCAGGGAATGGACTAAAATCAATGCCAAATAATCGCCAATTCACATACGATGTCCAGGAACTTACAATTTTATCCATAAATCACCCACATTATCTATAAATTCATAATTTTTTTGGATTCTAAATTCTAGATCAGTTTATTTTAAGGTCAAATGTTTGTCTTTTGGTATTTGTCATACGATTGAGAGCTGTGGTTGAAGCCTGCTTCATCATAATCGGTTAGTCATTTTTTGCGTTGGCAGTTTTCGAATTTTCATTGTTATCGATTTTCATTGGTATTTCCACGTTTTAATGATTTTCCCAAGGTTTAAAAAGTCGGCAGAAACTTTTGTTCACTCATTTCCTTATCATCATTTTTACTTGAATTGAAATTTATTTTTGAAAAAAACGTGCGGCTTCATTTATAAAAATTTCTCATTTTGATAGATATTTTTGACAGGTCGTGCAACGTGAATATATGTATATGTTGGTTGATAATTCATTTTGACGTTATATATTAAATAGGGGTAATCAAGGGGTATTTCTGTCATTTACGATAGAGAAATAATTTATTTATCTCTTTATATCGAGAATTTATTTATTTACATCTATTCATAACCAAACAAATCGAAGTGAAACTGAATAAAACTCATATGGTTTTAAATGTTATAATATTTTATTAATATTTTAGATATACATTTTTATATTGTTCTTCACTGCATTATTTTGTTATTATGGCTATTATTTTATTATTATGTTGTTAGTTTATATATTATTTGATTCATTGGGGGTTGATATGGTTCAAGTTCACATAATGTTATCGAACTGGAAAACAAGGACTCCTTTCCCGAAAGGGGTAAAACTATCATTAAAACCATCCGAGTAGTGCTGATGATCTTCTATCGCTAAGCAATCTTGACAAAATTTTCTAACCATATTAACAATTAGCTGTGCGAACATAACAAAAAAATAAACGCTAATGACTTTTTATTTTGTTCAAATATCTTTTATATACATTTTTTTATTAAATTACTTTATTATTAAATTAGTTTTCAATGAAAAATTATAAATTTTTTCTTTAGATTTTTTCATTTTAAGATACATTTTCCAACTTTCAATTATATCCTTCAAATTTATGATGAATAGAATTAAATCTGATCATTTGTGCATAGTATTAATATATATGCATTCGATGGTGGGAAAAAATACACTGTACTGATACAAAAACAACCATATATAAACCTGTGAGGTCCATTTCAGGAAGTTTAAACTCTTAACATCCCCAAAGTTCCGCTGCTGTCTCTTACATTTGCTGTAGGTCTTTCCATTAATCAACCATATTTGAACTTATATCTTCCTAGTATCACTCGTCCCCGTTATTT